GACAGGAGAGCAGTGTGAGATGCACACGGTGGGGGGTCTCCAACCTCAAGAACCCCGTGTGCACTCTCAGTCCTCATCAGAAACGGGCGGCTCTTTCCAGAGTCGCAGCCTCTGTCTCGCTCTCGAGTGCTGAGGGCTCCTCCAGGAGCTAAAGAGGGACAGACCACGCGGTGTCGCAGAAGCTGACGCTAGCAAGCCCTGACAGGGTCTCAGCACCTCTCACGCATTAGAATTCACCCAGGGAAGCTTCTAATTAAAAAAAAAATTTTTTTTTAAAACACACACTTTTTTTTTTTGAGGTGGACCATCTTTTAAAGTCTTTATTGAACGTGTTACAATATTGTTTCTGTGTTCTGTTGGTGGTGAGGCATGGAGAATCTTAATTCCCCAACCAGGGGTCGAACTGGCACTCCCTGCATTGGAAGGTAAGCTCTTAACCACTGGACTGCCAGGGAAGTCCCAGGAAAGCTTTTTAAAACTTCTGTTGCCTGGGTTCCTGCCACAGATTGTGCCTGCGTGGATGCTCAGTCGTGTCCAACTCTTTTGCGACCAAACACTTTAGCCCACCATGCTCCTTTGTCCGTGGGACTTTCCTGGCAAGAATACTGGAGTGGGTCACCATTTCCCCCTCCAGGGGATCTTCCCCATCCAGGAATCGAACCTGGATCTCCTGCATGGCAGGCAGATTCTTTACTGCTGAGGCACCGGGGAAGGCCCTGCCACAGATCACTAGATCTGGGGGTGGGACCTGCTCCTCGTGTTTCAGAGGCGCGGAGAAGGTTGAGAACCACAGAACAGGGGAGAAAACATAAGCTCAGTCCTTCGGCAGCATCTGGTCAGAGCAAGGATGACTGTGTCGGCTGGAACCTGGCGGCCAAGGACCTCACACCCTCCTCCTCGGTCCAGCCCAAACTCCACCTCACGTGCGGCAAAGCAGGCCCTGCCCCTTGGCCTCTCTGCAGAGGTGTCTGTCGACTAGCTGCACTGTTTGGTCTACACCCCCACCCCCTCAGTGTCTTGTAAACTCTAGCAGGACGGGAGCCGGGGAATACTTCACCTTGCCTAGGGGCCAGTGTGACAGCCTCAGTCGTCACAGGGCGGTTCGTGAAGACAGGTGACTGCTGACATTGGTGAGCCTCAGAAACAGGTATAACATCAAATAGTAGCTCAACTGGCCCAAGTGAAAGAAAGCTAGCAACCCAGCTATTCGGTGTCCTAAAGTCCAAAAGCAAAGAAACAAACTGAAACCAAAATCGGTGGTGGTGGTTTGTTCTCTAAGTTGTGTCCGACTCTTTGCGACCCCGTGGACTGTAGCCCACCAGGCTCCTCCATCCATGGGATTTTCCCGGCAAGAACACTGGAGTATGTTGCCGTCTCCTCCTCCAGGGGATCTTCTTGACCCAGGAATCAAACCTGCATCTCCTGCTTGGCAGGTAGATTCTTTACCACTGATCTGCCTGCGAAGTTAAAGTCATATCTTCCTCTTGTTGTTGTTGGGTTGCTCAGTGTGTCCGACTCTTTGCAATCCCGTGGACTGCAGCACACCAGGCTTCCCCGTCCTTCACCGTCTCCCGGAGTTTGCTCACACTCATGTCCATATTGCTCTGGTATGTGTCTGCATATCAAGCTTGACTGACTGGACTCTACGTGGGAACACTCAACTTTTTGGCGATATAACCATGTGAAATAGTTGATCACCGTATTTCCATTTTGATACCAGATGAGGACCAGTTTGCCAAGATGAGGAAGAAGGAAGTCTGAATCCAGGATCACGCTTACCCTTCAGCGAAAGGTCAGAAGCAGTCAGAGGAGTAACTATGGCAGGAGGCGGTGATTTAAATAATGGGGCATTCAGCCCTGGCAATTAAGATTATAAATCTGGTTAAAAGGCAAGAGATTAAGACTGATTCTGGTCAGCCAGCCTAAAAATAATTAGTTCTTAACTGCATTAGACAATATCCCATATTGATGAGATTTCTAGAAATGAGAAGACTTATGAAACAGGACCCTGAGAAATGAATGTAGCCTGTGCGTTCCTCCATATATGCTAGCTCACTTCACGCCCTTCTCATTCATCCATTCATTCACCTGCCAGGAGTTCTCAGCATCAGACTTCCGCTCCCTCCCTGGGGCTGGTTCATATCAGCTGTACCTGCACTTGGGCTCAGAGTGTGTGGTGAGGCATTGATGCCTTTCCTCGATGCATGAATTCTGTCAAAATATTCCTGGCGTTCCCAACCTGGAGCAGCAAAGTCAGGACCAGACACCCATTGCTTGGATTGCGGAGGAGTCCCTCTCAGCAGGGCAGTTTGTCGAGCAAGGGGAGGCAATGCGCAGGGTCGAGTGTATGAATCGCATGCGCGCGAGTGCACGCTCAGTCACTCAGTCGGGTCCGACTCCGTGTGACTGCAGGGGCTGTGGCCCCACTGTGGCCCCCCAGGCTCCTCTGTCCATGGGATTTTCCCGGCAAGAACGCTGGTGGGGGTGGTGGTTTAGCTGCTGAGTCGTGTCCAACTCCTGTGACCCCGTGGACTATAACCCGCCAGCTCCTCTGTCCATGGGGTTCTCCAGGCAAGAACACTGGAGCGCTTGCCACTGCTTTCCCCAGGGAATCTTCCTGACCCAGGGATCGAACCCACGACTCCTGTGTCTCCTCCCGTATTGGCAGGTGGATTCTTTCCCTCTGAGCCACCGGGGAAGCCCGTGGGCAGGCCTTAACTGCTTGCTCTGTCCTGATCTTTCTCTTAAGGTCTGATACCCTCCCACCCTCTTGTCTCACTGCCCATTCCTTCTTTCTCCCAGGAATCCTTTCAGCAGGATCTTCACACCCTGCTGCCTTTTTTCTTCCAAAATATTCACAAGCACAGTGACTATTTGCCCTGAGCTGAGAGGCTTACAAAGCTGTTTCACAATGTATCTCGTTCGAACCTGGTGACAAGCACAGAGACGTTCTTACCACCTGGAGGGGTGTGGATGCTGGAATTCCCAGGAATGCCTTTACAGATTACATACGTCTTATTTCAAGTGGGCAGGGCCCCGGCATTTAGGTGGGCTGAGAATCCAGGCTGCCCCCTGCTTTTCCCCCACTTCCTTCAAAAATGCCCAGAGGACCGTCCATAAGGGAGGCACCCTCGAGGGCAGGTGGATACAAAATAAATAGAAACAGAGGCTTGGCCAGGAGCCCCTGGGGATTAACTAACTAATTAATCCCCACACCAGTTTGATGAGGAACTAATTGATCCGTTAAGCGCTTTGAGGGGCCAAGGCCTGGCCAAGTGCATGGGAGCTTCTGTCACCTGGGAAGGTGACACTGAGAGCCCTCCTTCCCAGGCTGTCCAGGGAGAGTCAGGGTCAGGGTCACGCCCCCCAGAGGCATCCTTCCCCGTGGCATCAGAAGTCTGCGTTCCGAGGAGGGGAGAGAAAGCACAGAAGTAAACATGGAGAGGGAATTCCGGGTAGGGCGGGGCAGGTAATCTAGATGTCCCATGTTGGAAGGTGAGCCTTCAAGCTCCATGACCACGTGTGTGTCTCTGTGTTAGTCGCTCAGTTGTGTCCATCTCTCTGTGACCCCATGGACTGTAGCCCACCAGGCTCCTCTGTCCAGGGGATTCTCCAGGCAAGAATACTGGAGAGGGTTGCCATTTCCTTCTCCAGGGCATCTTCCCGACCCAGGGATCGAACCTGGGTCTCCTGCATTGGCAGGTGGATTCTTTATCATCTGAGCCCCCGGGGAAGGCCCTGTGTGATCTTCCGTGTCCCCCAAAGCCCAGTGTGCCCCATGTTACAACCTGATCTCAGAACGTCATATCTGAGAGCAGCCATCTAAGAAATGAAAGCACCCTTGCCTTTCTCAGAGAAATTTGTTCTGTAGAGTCTTCTGTGTTACGAAACAGAGGACCCTGCAGCCTGAGGGCAGAGGCATATTCAGAGGCCAGGCAGCAGGAACTAAGAGACTGCAGAACAGGGAGCGACAGGAGGGCCACAGGTGAAAACTGTAAGGCAGTAGCCGCAAGCAAGCCTGGCCCGGGCGTGCTGAGCTGGAGCCCTGGCGTCAACGATTCACTCAATAAGCAGTGGAGTGCGCCAGACTTGTTTCTAGGGCTCAAGGACGTAAAGCTGAGTTTGAGCCGCCTCTGTATCTGGCAGAAGGGCGGGAACGGGTGATGGTTAACCGGAAGTTGGCCCTAAAGAGTGATGGCTGAATGGAGACAGCCCGGTCCGGCCCTGTGAGCCCAGCGCCCCCCGGCCCCAGAGAGGGCTCAGCTTGGGCCACTGAGTCACAACCCGGGGCTGGTAGAAAACAAAGCGGGCAGGGGGGCCCTGAGGCAGAGCTGGTCAGCTTCTCCGGTATCAGCAGGACAGACAGGGAGTCTGAAAATGCAGACTGCTGGACCCCAGCCTGGAGTTTCTGATGCAGTAGGTCTGGGGTGAGTCGAGAATTTGCGCTTCTAACACCTTCCCGAGTGATGCCAATACTGCCCGGTGCAGCGACCACGCGTCCCTGTTTTTAATTACTGAGCTGCTTTTGGCTGCGCTGGGCCTCGCGTGCTGTGCTGGGTCTTCTCTGGCTGCGGCGAGCGGGGCTCCTCTTGGTTGTGGTGTGACGGCTTCCCCCGCGGTGCCCTGTCTCGCTGTGAGTGCTGGGTCTAGAGCAAGGGCTCGGTAGTCGTGTCACACGGGTGGGCTCTTCCCAGACCAGAGCCCCCGGCATCGGCAGGCAAATTCTTAACCCCTGGACCAGCAAGGAAGCTCCTCACCCTTTGAGAACCACTGTGCTAGAAGCTTCTGAGACCCAAGTGCAGAGAGATAGGGCATCTCAGCTGGGACGTCCGGCCTCCGCAGCTGGTCCCAGACCCAGGTTCTGCCGCGAGACGGCCAAGTGTGTCCTTCCCCGCATCCCTTCTCAGCAGGCCTCAAGGCCCCTGCCGCGGTCAGGGTCGGCCGGTTGGTTGGTTTCAGAAGGATTTTTCCTCTGTCTCCGTGTTTGTTTTTCCGCACAGAGCGAGATGGATGAGAACCAAATCCAGATGGCTGGAGACGATGTGGATTTGCCCGAAGACCTCCGGAAGATGGTAGATGAAGATCAAGAAGAGGAGGAAGACAAGGATTCTATCCTCGGGCAGCTACAGAACCTTCAGAACATGGACTTGGACGCCATCAAAGAGAAAGCCCAGGCCACCTTCTCGGAAATCAAGCAGACGGCGGAGCAGAAGTGCGCCATGATGTGAGGCGATGGGGACGGAGGAGGCCGGTCAAGGCGGAGCTGACCGCTCCCCTGAGAGGCGCCTCCAACAGCGTCGGCGTGATCGTAGTGAACGCTAAAGAAAACCGCGATGAAAACTCGCCACCAACACATAGATGACTCCTCGGTTGTTCTAAATGTTCCTGGTAGCGCCCCTGACAGCAGGAATCACACTGTCCTTTTAGTTGTAAATATGACGAAGCCTGAACTTTTCAGCTGTGAATGAAGCAGAACACACATCTGCTTAAGGGTCTGCAGGATGGCCAGGAAGAAACAAAAGCAAACGGTATTTCACCTCCGACTTTCTGCTGACAGGACAAGGTCCTGTCTCTCTCCAACCATTAGCAGGACTCCGGGTCCCTTCAGAGAAAGATGTGGAAGGTCAGGGTGCCCCCCGGAGCCCAGACTGAAGACTCAAGGGCTGTCAGAGATCACACCACCTCTGTCTCCAGGGTGTCGGTGCTTCTCATGGATGCTTGCACGAAGCGGAGGGGCTGGGATGGGATAGGAGACGAGAGAGGAGGCAGAGAGGAGACCTGGCCGGTGTTTGCACCACGATCACCCTTCCAGAAGGGTAGGAAGAATGGTTTGGGTGGAGGTGGGAGG